AATAAATTGAGGGATACCCTTTTGTCCAAGGACATCATGAACCTGGCGATACAGAAGATTGCTTGTGGACTTGACGGTTTCGACTGGAGAATAATTAGAAGTATGGTGGAAGTTATCTTCAGATTTAGTGGCATACACATTCTTGTCTGTTGCCACAACCCTAAAAGAACAACTGGAAGGAAGACCGTAGACTGCTACTTCTATAGGACGTCACAATGCAAGTTTGGATCTCTATGCAAATATCGCCATGGAGCTGAGGACCATTTTCGGGACGAAAATGTTTTAAGACGGGGGCAATGTAGCGAGGACGGCTCTGGATCTCGGATTGATGACTCATCGCCGATGAGTCATCGCCGCTGACTCAGCGCTCGAATAATCGAGAGTGTGGAGCTCGCTGGAATGTTCCAGAAGACATAGGCGCTGAATATATAAGAAACGACGCATCACAGAGCAGTCAGTTGAGCTTTCGTACTCGCGAAGAAACAAATAAATATAAGTGCAAATAAATAAACTAGTAGTGATATAAATAATTAGTAGTTAAGTGTTTAGTTAGTTTTATAGTGTTTTAAGTGTAGTTAAGTTATTAAATAAATAGTTAAGTTCGTTAATTAACCAGTGCGTGTTTTCATTCACACTACGAACAGTTAAAAACGTTACAATATGGTCAGTACGCATCGACAATCAGCGCCGCTGGTGGTGAAAAAAAGACTATTAACTTCGGTCTCCTTGTGTAGGCTCCATGTAAGGTATTTTCGCGGAGCTAATTTCTATATTTTATCTAGGGGCTATAGCTCCTAGACGTATGAAATATGTTATAGCTATAACATATTTCAAACGTCAAACCTGAAAAAAATTTACAAACTTGATAATTTCAATGTAAGTTATAGCCCCAATTGGAACACCAAGGCCCGATTGATAAAAGAAATGGAATTATTTGTTAACGGGGGTAACCGTGGGTATAATGTGCCTACAAATTCTTAAAAACCATTCCTCCAACTATAGTGTGAAGTCCGAAAGATATCCTTCGTTAGTTTGTTTGTTTCTTTATTTTAAATTGGTTTTAAAATTAATGATATTTTCCGAAAGGCCCGGGATTGAAAAAAGGGCTCGGGATTGACACCCCTAGTCCCGAACTAAAAAATGTAAATAATTTCCAGTAAGCACAAGCTAGCCGGCCCGCATACGGCCCGAACACGTTTTGCTGATTCGGCCGCGTGCGGCCCGACACACGTATTTCTTACGGCGCACAGTGGGCTAGAGAACCAATTTACCGCGAAGAAATTATTTGGTTAAGTAATTCTTAGGTAATGTTAATTTTTTTGGTCTTATTGATGAAATTTTAATAAAAATTACTTTTTACTACCAATAGAAAAGCAAATCCACAATACTCGTATAATACTTTAACAACAAAAGTATATTTGTGTGATGGGAAAATTAAGATCTATAGTTTTAATAAGTAAATTACAAAAATATAGGTAACTGAATTATTTTTACGTTACGTATTTTATACAATAATATTACTTCTGGTCTTTCAGCGTTTTTCTATATTTTTTGAAAAAAATTAAATTTTTGAAAGTTTTTTCCGAGATACATTTATTTTTGTAAATGCAGTTTACTAAGTAATTTAAAACCAACTTTCTATTAAAATGCTTTAAACAAAATATATTTAATTTTAGATTTATTTAAAAGACAGAACAGTAAGCTATTAAAAACACTTAACACAGAGGGTCAGAATGCGTGAATTTTTTTAAAACCTTTGTATTGTTCATACATACATCAATGCAGCGCTTTCTTTATTGACGTAGGGACAGTACAATAATTATAAAAACTTACCATTATTTGTTCCAGCTATAACGTATGACAGTATTGATGATGGTCAAAAATTAAAAATAAATTAGGAATTAACATTGTAAGAGAAGCAAAACCTTCACGCGCAATTTACCAACACAAAGCAAGAAATTATAATTCTTAAACTTTGACTGGTTACCTGATAAAAATTCAATAGATTTGAAGGTGATTTAAAGATGTTTCATTATCTACAGATATTAAAGAATTCAAAATTCCCTAAATTTGGTCGAAATAAAACACTTACTTATTTTGAATTTCTTCGCGCTGGAAGCGCGCTCTAGCCTACTGTGCGACGTGGCTAATAAAATGTATTTCGGCTGAATTCGAGCTGCGATACGCTACGTTAGATATGAAAATGAGACCAGGCCGTACTTGCCGTATACGGCAAGTACGGTATACCTGACCAGCCGCCACTGCCTACTATCTTATAGTTTTTAATATCATTTTTTAAATTTTTTTTCAATTCAAGAGATTTGAAGGTTATATAACATTATTTGATTTACTACAGATAGTAAAAAAATCAAAATTCACTAAATTTTGTCGAAATAAAACACTTACTCATTTTAAATTTTTTCGCGCTGGAAGCGCTCTCTAGAATACAGCGGTGGTGGCAAAAATTATTAATTTTCACTAATAGTTATCAGTAATTAATTCAAAATTATTTATTGGTATTAGTAGCTTTTTAATTCATGGTTTTCATCACCAACGCCTGACAATATTTAATACAATGATATTTCTTCTGCAGAAGAAATATCATTGTATTAAATATTGTCAGGCGTTGGTGATGAAAACCATGGGCTTCCAGCGTTTTTCTATATTAAAAAAAAAATTTGAATTAAGTTTTTTCCGAAATACATATATTTTTGTAAATGCGTAGTCTACTAAGTAATTTAAAACTAATTTTATATTGAAATGCTTCAAAGTAAAACACTTTTCACAAAGCTCCGTATGAGTTAGGGATAATGTATTAACTGAAAAAAATAAACAAACCATATTTGTTGCGCCTACTATAGCACTTGATTTAAGATTTATTTGAAAGACAGAACGGTAAGCTATTAAAAAAACCTAAACACAGTGTGTGACAGTGAGTGACATTTTTTAAAACCTTAATAATGTCCATACATACATTAAAAGTGTGCAGCGGTTACTTTATTAAGGTGGTGGCAGCAGTGTTACCAGATTCTGTCAAAAAAAGACCGTACGTTTCGTTCGAATTTACCTTAATTACAAAAATGACTCAATGAACAATATTAAATAACGTCAACTTGACATAATTGCATTTATTTGCATTGTTTCATTGTGTCATTTTGTAATTAAGGTAAATTCGAACGAAACGTACGGTCCTTTTTTGACCGAATCTGGTAACACTGAGTGGCAGTACAATAATAATAAAAACTAACCATTATTCGTTCCAGCCATAACGTATGACTGTATTTAATACAATTATAGTCAAAAAGTAAGAATAAATTAATAATAAACATTGTAAGAGAATCAATACCTTTAAGCGCAATTTATCAACACAAAGCAAGTAATTATAATTCCTAAACTTTTACTGGTTACCTGATAAAAATTCAACAGATTGCATGTCCCCCTGGCCAACTGTTGGGCATATCCGCTGGCCGAATGTCGGCTATGTTTACTCGGCCAAGTGTCGGCTGTGTATAGTTGGCCGAGTGCCGGCCATAACCGCCTGGCCATTCAAAAAAAGCCCAAAGACGTCCTGGAGAAGTATATCCTATAAGTTCAGTCCTGAAATTCTCTGAATGGCAAGATACTTTTTTAACACACTCACTAGCTAGACATTATTCGTTACTGAGCAGAGTAAGATCCCAGTAAGCACCAAACACTCGGCAAACAGTCGGCCTTCGCTCGGCATGGCGGTTGACCGGCGGTTTGGCTTGCCCCCAGTCGTCCCGCTTATGGCCCGGGTTATATTAGCCCGGTACCGTTTGGCCATGTTCTAACCAAAGTCGGCCAGAATACGGCATGCCGCTGCAAAATCGTTCGGCTTGCCCTAGCAGGCCCGCTTACGGCTGGAATACGGCCTACCGCGGCATAAGCAATAAGGCTTTTTTTGAATTGCCAGGATGTAGTGGCCGGCACTCGGCCAACTATACACAGCCGAGTAAACAGCCGACATTCGGCCAGGCGGACATGCCCGGTCTACACGCCGGAACAAATACATGTGTCGGGCCGCACGCGGCCGATTCGGCAAAACGTATTCGGGCCGGCTAGCTTGTGCTTACTGGGATGGAGATGGGTACTCCAAACAATTAATATTCAGCTATGCCATTACGGACGCACACTTGCACAATATTTTAACCAATCGCTATTTATAGTTAGCTCGAGTGCGTAAGCAGCCGTTAGATGTATCGCCTATGCCGCGACAGGCCGTATTGCAGCCGTAAGCGGGCCGGCTAGGGCAAGCCGAAGTATTATGCAGCGGCATGACGAATTCTGACAGACTTCGGTTAGAACATGGCTAAACGGTACCGAGGTAACATAACGCTGGCCGTAAGCGGGCCGGCTGGGGCAAGCCGAACCGGCGCGCCGGTCAACCGCCTATGCCGAGCAAAGGCCGACTGTTTGCCGAGTGTTTGGTGCTTACTGGGTTATTTGTATAAAATATAGTGAATAGTGTTTAAGGAGTAGTTTAAAAGGTTACTGACAGTAATATTCTGATCCTAGGTATTTATGAATCTGACTAGAAGTGGAACAAATAAGCAATCTCATTCGATTTACTTTGTCGCGTGACTTTTTAAAAAACCCTCCCCTACGCCTTTCAACCACAGGATTTATGGATGTCCCTAAACTAAAAACACTTTTTTTCGAAACATTACTATTTAGCTGTTTGATATTTACAAACATAATAATACGACCATTATTATTTAAATGCTAAAAATGCGAGATTCAAGATAAAACAAATTTAGCGGTAAATTTAAAATTTTAGGGCTACCAATCTTTGCCACCAATGGTTTTTATGGCTGTAAGAAGTTGCTGACTTGGTTTAAAATAAAAATATATTTTGAGCATTAATAATCATTTATTGAAATAATCAAGTATTTAAACAAATACAATAGTTGATGTCTTATCAAAACACATGATAAAACCTCATACATTATAAATTCATATATTCTACAAAATATGGCATACAAATTATTAAAAATAAATTAATAATAATTATAATAAGAAAAAAATTGACATAAACCGCAATTTAACAACCAGATAAAACACTTTAATTCTACAAATATTATTTTTCACTCATTGCTTATAAATTGATAAATTTAGCTTTATTCGAAATACGCTTAAGTATTTCTTAGCTATTACTTTTTTAAGACACAGCGTGAATGTGGGAAAATACCATACTAAAATTATTATGAAAGTGCTTGTACAAATAAAAAATCGTGCATATACCTAAAACTGTTTAATATTCGACAAATTGTTAATTCGTTAATATTAAACGTACTAAATTTATATAAAATCTCACTGCAAAACCGTATTTCTAAATTGCTAACCATACACACAGTGCTTTCAAAAAATGAATGCAAATTTGAGATTGACTTAAAATAATTTTGATTTTTTCCCTATAAATAAAATTTCGATAAAGTCAAAAATTAACAATATATTTACAAAATTTTAGTCTCAAACTTGCATTTCAGTGTAAAAATAGTTCTAATTATATAATATTGCTTACTTTACATTTACAGTGTTATATGTAAGCCTGAAGGCAAATTTAAGACACTTTTTCATGTTTTAAGGCTTAGTACGTTTTAGACTTGGTAGGATCGACGAAAACAATTTATAAAATCGTTTACGTCGCTTTTTTACAAACTAAATATTTGGTTTTCTAGACCGTATTATAATTTGTTATATACAAAACATATTAAATATAAGGGGTATATTACAATTGTAACTAGTCTATACTCATTCGATTTTCATTTAATTTCTACAATTTTAAATGCCTAAAATAGTAACTGACTAGACTTGGAATGTTACACAGACCTAAGCAAAACTAAATCCAAGAATTTACATATTATACACCTAAACGAAATTTTATATTTCTGCAAAAAATAAATAACAATTCAATAATAATAAATTTCAAAAATAATAAATATCCCTAACCCCAACATAATAAAAACAATAATTATTCTTTAACCCCGTTCTTAACCCCCAATAATTTAGCCGCATCATCAGCAGAGGCACCCAGCACTCTATCTAAGATAGATTTATCCCCTAAACCTAACAAATTAGTGATCAAATCACCACTCTCATTGCAATCACTTTCACTTACATTATTTTCGTGATCATTATTTACCAAACTCTCATACCCAACATTGATATCTTCATCAGTATTCAACTCATCATAGTTAACCTCCCCATCGGATTTGAGGTTATGTTTCTTCCTATGACGCAGCATGCTGTGCTTTAGTGTGAACCGTCTCTTACAGATGTCGCAGCTGAACGGGCGCTCGCCTGTATGAGTGCGCATGTGTCTACGCAGATCTTCAGCGGACCAAAACCGGCGCATACAAAACGCGCAGATGACTTTCCTGTTGGAATAATCCGGGAATTTACCGCGAATTTCGTTATCGTCATCTTCATTGTGTGTCACGTCATCTGGTGTGGTCGCAGACGTGTCCAAAGCGTTTTTTGACATCAGCAAGTCGTATTCAGAGGCGTGTTTGTTTTTGATGTGGTCCAAGGCGTCTTGACGTTCGCTAAACGACCCTTCGCACAAGTGGCATTTGAATGGTAAGTCCGAATTTCCAACTTGATTGTTATCGTTGTTTATGGGTAATTTATTGAAAGACAGCTGTGTTTCCCAGTCGTTTTTTTCGGCATTCGTCATTTTTTCGTCCTCCGAGCTCCCTGCCTCGTAACCTTGAGCTTTGATATCGTCACCCTGAGCGTTAGTTGAGTGCTTACAACTGATATGTTTCTTTAGATTGGAATACGTCGAAAAGGTGCTGCTGGGACAACTGGAGCACTTAAAAGGCCTTTCAGGAACATTCCTCATCAAATAATTACTGTTGTTATTATTGTTAACACTTTCGTTGGTAATTGTTGTAGCAGCGTTGCCATGTTTGCGTAACAGATGACGATCGCAGTTTGATTTAGTTGTAAATAGAAGCGGGCAATGGCTGCACTTAAAGGGTTTCTGACCAGTGTGGGTTAAGATGTGGCGTCTCAAAGAGGATGTCCACGGGAATTTTCTGCTGCAATAAGGGCAGCTTACTCTGTTCGGTGCCAAGGAGTAAGCGGATTTTTTCTTTACCGGGACTGTGGTATCAGATTCTGATCTGGAAATAACAAATTAATGTTAAAAATACGTCTTTTAGAACCTAATAATCATTATTCAAAGAAAATTATAAATATTATAATAAAAGTACACATATGATTACCTGTTTTCATCTGTGCCAGAAATATTCCCCTCACTAGTGCTCCCACTGGCTACCAAACCATCTTCATCCTCTTCAGAATTGGCTCCAACTTCGTGCTCTTCATTGTCCCTCTTGAAGTATTCTTTGAACTGCTGTTGAGAAGCGTTATCAAGAAGTCTGGAAACCGGCACCAGATCCTCTTCATTCTTCAATTTCTCGTTTTTGCACTTGGCTTTCAATTCCTTTAACTTTTCCTCCAAAATGTTGCTCGATGTGTACTCTCTTTGGTTTTCTTCAGTCTTTATATCTTTACCTTCATTCTCATCTATGACTAAAGGTGCTTCTTCGTCTTCCTCTTTTTTATTTTCTTGCTTGACTCTTAAGTGTTGCGCCAAAATCGCAAACTTTAATTTATCACTGATTTGGTCTTTAACTTCTTCGATATCATAACTTTTGACCTCGTAGTTTGGAATGCTGAGATCGCAAAAGTTTGGTTTGATTGGCACCCCTTGCGCTTTGCGCCCAGGGTTGCCAACATGTCCCCGCTGCCTTTGTGACCAAAATTGCGGATGTTGCTGTTTAATATGTCTCTCCATGTTCGAACGTAGAGTAAATCTCGCTGAGCAATGTTCGCAGGTAAAAGGACGTTCGGTTCTGTATCTTCGTTGTTTTTGTTTAGGCATTAATACACCGTTTTTGATGACCATTTTAACGGAGTTTGGTGACTGTATTATGTCTGCTTTGCCTTGTGAAATGGGGCTATGCATTTTGGACATACTATCGGAAAAACTTGTATCCACATTCAGTGGTTTCATTTCTTCGGGTTTCTTTGGTACAGGGTAACTATCTTGTTTTAACTCTTGTTTATTAGCTTCATTCATTTTAAAACCATTAAAACCCAAGTTGAATCTCGATGCTTGCATATTCTGCAAAGCTTTAAACTCGTTAATCATCGATCCACCACACATTTGCATTCGCATTTTATTTTTTAAATCCTCAGTATTTGGTGTTGTTAAAGGATTCGGAAGCGACGGGAATAATAAAGGATTAATAGGAAAATTGAGTCCTCCCAATCCAGAAAAACTATTTCTGTACATATTGGCCCACTGCGTAGCCTGATACAAAGCTGCTGGATCAATCTTTGGTTGAGTTTTTAATAGTTGTTGTGCAGCCAAAATCTCAGCGGGGAAGTACGGAGGTTTAAATGGAATTTTCTTCGTTAAATCTTGTGGGATTTCTTCATGCACTTTTTCCTCTACTTTCTTCTTATCCTCATCCATCTTCTTCTTACTTAAATCCAACACTAAATCCATTGGTTCTTCCTCATCTTCTTCCTCATCCACGTATTCGTCTTCAGAATTATTGTTACTGTTGTATTGGTTGTCTTTCAAGGTTTCGATGCTCTTAACTTGGATTTTTGTTAAGTTTTGTGGAAGTTGGTGCAAATTTTGCGCATAGAATTGTGGCTGAAGCAAACCATTGAACTGTAGCTTGTGTTCTTTTAAGGATCGTAAGTTTTCGTTGCGAATTATGTCGTTGATATTGTTAAACATCTTTGGTTCCTTATTAATAGGCATCTGTAAGTGTTTGAAAGATTGTAAGTCTGGGAATAAAGGTAGTGGAGCTTGAATATCGGGTTTCATCTCGGATAAAGACTTTAGTGTGTCCAATTTTGGTGTGGAACAATGTACTTTTTCTGGAGTTATATCGCCTCCATCAGTGGAACAACTTATATTTAACTTCTTACAGTCATCTTTGGCTGCAAGCTTGTTCAAGTCTTCGTTGGTTGGATCTTCAGATGGGTGGTATATTATAGACTTCTTTACATCTTCCCTGGTGGTTTTGGAATGTCTATTTCGTAAGTGCCTTTCACAATTTGCTTTGGTGGTAAAAGCATAGTTGCAGATGGAACATTCATAGGGCCTATCACCGTTGTGCGTTCTCATATGCCTGATTAAAGCAGCTTTGTCAATTGACGAATGTGGGCACATGTTGCAGTGATATGTACCGTTGTTGTTGCCATTTAAGTGGGCTCTGTTGTGCCCTTTGAGGGCACGTAGGTTTGGGAAAACTGCTGTGCATAATCTGCAAGGAAATTCACCACGTAGTTTCATTTTACGGAACTCTACTGCGAATTGATCTTGAGTTTCTTCCTCTTGATCGTTCTTGTTGTTGTCAGGAGAAATATCCATTGGTGGTTTGTTGGAGGGTGCCAATCGTAGTTCATTTTGTTTTTGAAACTGCTTTAGGTTGATATTCGATAGAATTGATTGTATATCAGCAAGATCTTTGGGGTTTTCAGTTATAGCTTTGACTAGCTGTTCTCTAAGCTTGTTAGGTTCCACTGCAGGCATATATTTCTCGGGGGAGTTATCCTGTAGGTTTAACCTTTTAAAAAACTCCATCCTTTTGATGTCAGACTCTGGTATGGAAGTCCTAGATAAATCCAAACCATTACCTATAAAACCGCAATCTTTATCGTGGATTTCCAGAGAGCTGGAGCACGGGAAAGCTCTGAAACATTTGTGGCATTGAAACTTCAACCCACTCGCGGCTTTATGTATGTTCATTTCGCATTCGTAGCGAGCGATATGCGGGAATTTTTGACTGGAGAAATCTACAAAAGTAAGATCCTTGAAGCCCATAATGGGTGTTTTACTTGGGCTGCTTTCATGAGCTGTAACTTTATGGTTTAATAGAAGTTTGTTATTCGGGAATGTTTGGTTGCATTGATTACACTTAGCGGGGTAGTCTGGGTGGTTGTCTTCCAAATGCATCTCCAAGTTTGCTATGGTATTGAAGTCTGATCTTTCGCACACTGGGCACTTGAAAATTTCGTCTTGCCGAGGTTTTTTGTTGGTTTCTTCGATGACAACTTCGAGCTTACGTTTCTTTTCAATTTTATTGTTATTAAATTCGGTGCTTTTAGAGCTGCTAACGTTGCTATCAGTGCTTCCGTCGCTTTCGTAATTCTCCGGTTTATTCGAGTGTGTTCTCATGTGCCGATGCATATTTCCATTTGTTGTAAAGGTATCACCGCAGTACTTGCAGTGGAAAGGCCTCTCCCCACTATGAACAAGCACATGGCGATCCAAGCTCGAACTAGAGGACAGAACTTTGTTGCAGATTCTGCAGGTGAACCCCTTTTCATTATCCTGAACCTCGGCTTCGTTATTATGGGATCGTATGTGTAAAGTGAAGTCGTGTTGTGACGTCAACATCGTATCGCATATAGGGCAGACGTATTTTCTTTCCGGACTGCTGCAATCGCTCCTGTTATCACTGTCTTCTGAGTTATGCTCTATGGTGGTGTTGGTCGTGGAGAATATTCCCGAATCGCTTCTGGTGCTTTGGTTGTACAGCTTTTCTTTGGTGATTAAGTTTGGTTTGGGGGCCACTTCCATTTCTAAAACGAAAAAAGATTAATGTTATCGGTATTTCCCAATTCGTTATGCGGGTTTTACAATGAAAGTATACATATATATATATATAGGTATACCTGACTTGAAAATCATTAAATGATGATGATCTTTGTTTTGTTTTGCTTGACCCAAATCATGAACAATTGTTTTTAGAGGTCTCGAATCATTTGCATTTTTACTAGCAATAAACGTTTTGGAAAATTCATCGATTGTTATTCTGTCTTGGGTACCAAGTAAACAAATCTTTAATGTGGTAATCTTGCGTTGGATTTTGTCACACATATTCAAATGCATTACGCAAGTAGAAATTTCTGATTATTTAGCAACAGTTTTTTCACGAATCGCGAAGAGAATATCAATGATGATAAGACTTATCTGGAAACTTTCACATTTTTTCCTTCCTCATATGAAGTGGCTTGGTATAATTTTATGTGTCAGAGTCGGCGGATGTGAATTTTCGTATCGAAACACATAATTAAAATATTTTCGAGATAAGTTTTTGTTCTAATGGTCTAATGAGTAATACATATAGATTGTATAACGTTTTTTTATTGGTTGGCTGTTTTAAAAAGGAGTTTTAATCTGGCAAAAAAGATAAAGGTTTGTATGGTTTTGTTTTTTATTGTTAAGGTTTTCCTACTGAGACAAATCAACGGGACAGAAGGGGGATAAAATGTTAGAAAAAGGATTTTGTAAAATTAAAAAGAATGCACAAATAGTATTTCTCAATTAAGAAATATGGGTTAGCACTGTAGAATATAGAATATAAATTATATTATTATATATTATATTTCTTAATTCAGAACTATTCAGTTTATTATATCAATTTAGTAATGCAATATTTGTTGACGGGTGTATATTTAATATTAGCAATATATTGAAGAAAAATTCTAATCAATAATAACAAAACTCGAAACGGAAAATCGAACTGAGATTATGCGAACCGCATACGCGAGATAGTGCATACACAAACCGCACGACACAGGTTTCGTTTCCTTCAAAAATATTAAGACATGCCAGATTAACAACCTTTCGGTACGATAAGCAAAATCTGTGTGGGAATTTATTAATGATATTTTTCTTGTTCGTCGATTGTTTTCCTCGTGTTTATCTTTTGTTTTAGATTTTATGTTTAATGTAAACAGAAGTCGATCGTTTTTATAAAAATAATTATTATAGTTCTGGTGTTTGATATGGTTTTAATTAGGCTTTGTTTGGGTTTAGTCATTGTTTGGTCTTTTTTGGGAAAATAAACTTTTTAAAATTAAATTACCTATGTTTTATATACTCTAAGGTTAAGTACATGGATATATCAATCAATCATTCAAATATCCTTTAAGGTTATATCCATGTACTTAACCTAAGAGTATATAAACCATATAATAAACAGATAAGTTGCCTATAAAGTGGCGATTTTTCGTGACAAAATTTGAGGGTTTCGAGACATAAAAAAACTTTTTTAATATATTACCTAAATTGTTGGATGGTGGCAGCAAGCCTTGAGAATTTTGGGGCATGAAGACAATGCCTTGCATTTCGAAATTACTTTCTGTAAAAAAAAAGAAAAATAATTAAAACTGTAATCTAACACTAATTAATAAAATTGCTTCGTGTTATTAAAATATTATTCCAGGAAAACCTGCAATAAAAATCTAAATCCTAGATTACGATTTTTTTTTCAAGCGTATAACAAACATTATTCTTATACACGGGCGTACAATAATGAAAATACACTGAAATTACATAAAAAGAGTGGTTCTATGATTCTACCGCATTTAGATCAAAATCAGTGTAAATCACTGTAAAATTACAGGTCCCTGTAGAATAAATTCATGTACATAACCTATAATGTCAAACGTCAACATTATCTACCAATAAAAATTTAATGAATGTAGTACCTACAGAGTTATTAAACGATTGAAAATAAAAAAATAGTACCTATACGCTTTCTCTGCCTGTTAGATAATGTACTATTTTTATAGATAATTTTGGTAATTTTTTATTTATTTTGTCAAATGATGACAGTTTTTATTAAATTACCTAGGTATATAAAGTATTAAGAAAAAAATTACACCTACAGGGCAATCTTGCAAAAAAACTTATATTTGTCCCACATCACGCTTCCACGAAATAAAAACACGTTGATTACACTGGTTTACAGTCAAAATGTACCTTGAGTGCGACTATTTTTTTCTGATGTATTTTGGCCTGCTAAACTCGAAAATGACAATAAAAAATTTTTTTATGGCAAGATTTTCCAAATAAAAAATTGTCTTTGATTTTTCGATGCCGGCTTTACTATTTGGGATATATCTCGAGTTTGAAATGGCCAATTTGATTACAACAGATGTCAAATTAAACCTAATTAACATAATAACAAATGTAATTGTATAAATGCCCAATTAGTCAATAAGTTTAGGTGCAATGGGGCCAAATATCGAGAAAAAGTCAATTTTTTGGACAAAATTAGAATTAAGTATTTACTATTTTACCAAAAAGAAGCAAAAATCATTAAAATATGCCCATTCCCACTTACATTTTTTTCCCAAAAATCTTGGTGACCTGAGTGATGAGCATGGTGAAAGGTTTCATCAAGAAATAAAATCCATGGAGCGGCGCTATCAGGGCTTTTGGAATGAAAGAATGCATTCTTTCATGATGGGGGATTATATTTGGTTCCTTGTAAGGGAATCAGATAACGAAAACAGAAGGCAATCTAAAAACCTAAATTATTTTTAATTTACAATAGTATTGTATGTTAAATTATATTATAATGATATATAGAGTGTTCCATTTAAAATGAAACATCCTGAATTTTTCGGAAACTAAAAGAATTTTGAAAACTCACGAGACACATAAAGTTTTATATCGAGGGAGACAACAAATTTTGCCATTAATGCTATTAATGCCAAAATTTGGTTTCCCACCCTTATCCTCTATGCCCAGGAGCTTTCCCCTTAATAATTTGTACATAGGTATCTAAAAAATGAACTGACCAATTTAAAAAAAAATAAAATGCCGTTTAATAGGGATTTTCAAGACCTTTAAAATAATGTAGTACTCTGTACCCCTTCTCTATTTAAATTCTTAAGGGGGTAACTCCGGGGCGCAGAAGGTAAAGGTGGGAAACCAAATTTTGCCTTAAAAAGTTTTCCCCCTCGATATAAAACTTTACCTGTCTCTGCGTTTTTTAAAATACTTCTAGTTTCCGAGAATTTAGGGGGGTTAGTTTTAAAAGGAACACACTGTATTTTAATATTAAAATATAAAATAAAATTTATTTAACAGTGAAAAGGTTCTATTAGGCAAATAGAACCTTTTCTTTTGTAAAAAACTTAATTTCGGAAAAAAATTTACCTGTCCACTTTTTGCATTAACCCCTTTAATTATAATAATTATCAATAGATTTGTTTTAAAAATATCTTGTTTTCTTTATAACAGTTTAAACTCCACGTAGATAATTTAAAAATTGACATATTTTGTTGATTTGTATTCATCCTTGGCAAAGAAAATAATGTTACATTCTCATTTTTCTCCAAAAAAAAACGACTTTTTCCAATATTTGAGCCCATTGAACTTAAGCTTATTAACTGATTGGGTACTAATAAGGTGATATTTGTTGGCGACTCAAATATGTTTAATTTTAAACTTTTTTCAACCAGATTGGCCATTTCTAACCCGAGATATGACCCAAATTGTAAAGCTGCTTTCTTAAAGAACCAAAATATTAAAGAAAAAATTTTATCTCAAAAACCTTGCCATAAAAATTTTTTTTTTTGTGATTTTTAAGTTTAACAGGTCACAATACATTAGAAAAAAATAGTGGCAGCGAAGGTACATTTTTTTAATTTTAATTTGTAAACCAGTGTTATTACTAGGGATGGGATTTTAGTTATTTTACCTTTTTTTAACCGATGTAACTATTTGAAAACCAATAATGCCAAAATGTGTTTTAAAAGATTTTCTTTTATATGAACCTAACTTGTTTTCACCTTTTTTACCTTTTTTGGAGGTTTTTGCTTTTAACTACCTTTTTTATACTTTTGTTACCTATTTTTTTAACTTTTTTTCACCTTTTTTACCTTTTTTGGAGGTTTTTGCTTTAAACTACCTTTTTATACTTTTGTTACATATTTTTTAATTTGTCAGTTTATTTTCATATATTTGTTACCTATTTTTACGTATTTTTACTTATTTTTTTTTTTGTTCTTTTTAAAATTTGCGCCAATATTTTATCCAGGGCGTGCAACTCAACGGTATAGAATCTTTTCTTATGGTTACAGACTGTAACAGTAACTTTCTTTACAGTTACCTTCTTTGTAGTGACTCACTACTAGTGAGCTTATGTTCTGTCATAGAACTTCTGTGTAGTGAGTGTCACTCAGTAAAACACAGTTTATTGCATAGAAATAGTTTATTGTGGGTATGTTCTGTGTTTGGGTATGCGGGTAAACAAAATTATAAACGAAACTTAAACTTTTAATGTTTTTTTTTTACCTAAAATGCTGTTTTTTTTACCTAAAATGCTTTTTTAAAGTACCTTTTTAGTTACCTATTTTTCAGTTTTTAGTACCTAAATATCCCATCCCTAATTATTACAATGGCTTTATCTTTTGAAATCTTTAACGTACTTTTACCGGAGCGGGCGTTGGGTGGTATGGCGCATATTATCAACGGTGTATGTTAGGCATAAGAGAGTGATTTGTGTTGTTTAACGTGGTGGCGAGGAAAAAGCACAAAAAAAGGGTCCAGCAGCACGCGCGCGAGTGTAACGCGGCAGGTGGCTGATTAACCAAAAAGGCAGGTGATAGCAACATATGCTTCTTTCTACTGCTGCCTCTGACGCTGCTTATATCTATTTATCTGATACGATAAAGTATCTATTTAGTTAAATCAGCTTTCCAGCTTTTTATACTATTTTATACAGGGTGCCCGAAAATGAAGAGCACGAAAATATAAATATTGCTTTCGTTGTTTACTAACACCCTATGGTATATTAATTTAATATTATTATTATTATTAAATATTATTAAAGTCCTTGTCAGCATCATGTGAGGAAATCGAGATAATTTCGCGACTTCGAACACGATAATTTCCATTAAGCATAATTGATTTCTTTAGTACCTTTTTAAACAGATAAAATTAATTTGAATTCGAGTTGTTATAAACGCTTGTTCGATGACGTTAGTAATTCCGTGTTCATCAATTTGTGTTTATAATGTTTTTTAATGCTGTTTTATTTTTCATAATATTCCGCGAAAATAATTTGTTTGGTTTTTCTTATGGTGTTATTGATAAACAAGACTGCGTTTTATCAAACTTAACATATCACAAAAAAGCCTTGATAAACACCAAAATATAAAATCTGAATACAAAAATTATAACGTTAAATTATTTTAAACACAATGTGTCTTACCAAACATGCCCATTCAGCGGAACAACGCGTTGTGGCATCTTTAAAAGACATTTAAAACATTTATATGTAATATTAATAATTTATATCATTAAATTATTCAGGAAAAAAGTAAAAAAAAAACCTTGTCATATTAAGAGCTAAGAATCCTAACTACCATACCATACGGGATATACTTTATACTAAACCAAACATATTATTATTTCGCGATTATCTCACATTTATTTTTATTATTATTATTATATATGTATATGTACTACTCGTTTTAAAATCCTATTTAATTTTGCAAGTTATAAAATAATACATTAAAGAATTAATGTCATGAGACGTCATTTTGTCGCACGCGGACAATTTATAAATATAATGGACGAGTGCGACAAAAGGTCTTATGACATGAGTTCTTTATGCTATTTTATCTATTTTGCAAAAATTCTATAAAAAAATAATTTTATACCTTAAATTTAATTTGGTCGAATTTTACTTTAGATAGTTGGTATCACAGTCATTGGTTTGACAGTTAATGTCAAAATCGATTCGCCATGCCGTCCTTAATTTACTTATATACAATAAGCGGCTGTTAATGTTAAGGAAGAAAAAAAGGATTTTCTTTGGTGCACCAAACATGTTAACATGTTAAACAAAATTTATTGCCAGAAAAGTCTCGTGAGTACTATAAAAATCATAAAAATATTATAACCAATATGCAAAATATTATGCTGTTTAAAGTATAGCCAACCTATAAAATCAAAATTTTGGGTGGGATAAAGCATCTCATTACAGCACCGAAAGCAAAACGCAAAATAGATAAATTGTTATTGTCAAAACTTCAAACTTTGACCTAAGATATTTTTTGAATGGTTAGATTTACGAAAAAAGCATGGGATACATTTTTTCTAGAGAATTTAATTTCTTATCAAATTATGTATTGCGTTTAGCTTTATATTAATTTATTAGTGAGATTCCTAATAGTAAGAGAGTTCATACGTAGATTGCCTTCTTTTGAGGTGCCCAGTAACCAATTTTTCGATATAAGTAAAAAAAAAAATAGCCTTATATACATGGACCCAAACTGTCGATATCTTAAAATTTAAATAATTATATAATTCCCTATCAATTTTCCTAGTACATATATAAATAATCTTGGTATACTTTTACAAAAACAAAAAAATATCAATATACAATACTTACATAGAGTATAAAGTTTCATTAACAAGTTTTAAAATAAATAAAATAGGTATACCTAACAGCTTCTGAGAATCGCAAAGATGAACATAAATACTAAACCTTATCTACTCTGATATAATATTGCATAAAATATTTATGTTATACATTGAATACCTGTCCATACCGTGCATTGATAAAAAAATACACATCAAACAAGGAAATAGATAAGAAACGAAATTTCATTTCCAAGATTTGAACTTTAATTCAGCAGACAAAGGTGACACAATTCTTTAAACTTATTAATTTCGATATTGTTTATGAATATAAAAGATACGTGACAAGTTAGTCATTTGGTTCAATAATTTATTGAACTGTATTAACATCTGAGTCAAACAAATACGTGAATGCACATACGCCTTTATTTATGAATAAATATTAATTTTAAGATAAAATCTTACAAAGGAAACCAACGCGTTCTTGGAACCAAGATTCCAAATGTCAATATTGTAGCATGGGGTTAGTCAAAATAAGTATACTTGTAAGTAGGTACCTATTTATAAAAACGTTCATTTAAGATTTGGAAAAGTAACCGAATATTACAAAGATGAATTGCTAAATTATTAAGGTAATTTTCAAATTAACGCATTAAAAAAATAATTCTGTATCAATTTTTGCTCCGTTGAACAACATGTTGTTTTCATCTTTTAAATTAAGAAAGCGTACATGTCAGTCTCTTTTAAAATAATAGTGTACCGAGAAGTTTGCTTTATATAATTATAGGAAATCTGAACGAAGTATTTTCTAAACAATAATTTGTTTGTTGATATAAGGTTTCATTAAATTTTCCTATACTTAAACATATTGTATGATTTTTATCTGTACTGCCACATTGACAAGCTGTGACTTTATGGCGTTTTAGTCACGGGCTTTTGGGTTTTTTAGTCACAGGCTCACTTATTTGTCCATTTCGATGCTACTAATCGTTTTCAGGGCAAACTAACTTCTTAAAATAGTCTAAATTATAGGGATTATAGGGATTATTTATGCATGGAGTCTACAGAAGGAGCCCGAACTTAATTGGGGAACTTTACAAAACCTGCACAAATTAAGTATTTTTTTCCTACCAGCGGCGCTGATAGTCGATCCGTATTGACGTCTAATGTTTTCGTAGCGTTTCGGTACAAATCAAGCAATTGTTTATTAATAAACGGAATACCAGATACATGAAGTTCGGACTCCTTGTGTAGGCTTCATGGATGTGTTAAAAAACTCGTTTTTCTGGTTTTGTTTATCAAAATTATATTATAAAATGTGAATAAAATCATTAGAAGTAAATGTAAACTTTGTCTAGCTCTAGCAACAATATTTTACGTTTAATTTTGACTGACATTAAATATTTAATTTTGAAATTTTGCTTCACGCCAATTGTGCCAACCTAGTAAGATGAATTAAACTATATATTTTTTATCTACTCTTACATTGGCGAGCTGTGACTTTATCGCATTTTAGTCACGGGCTGAAATTTACAACAGAGACTTTTGGGTTTTTTAGTCACGGGCTGAAGTTAGGTTTATTTTAAATTTCGAAAAAGTGAGGTTAAATTCGTTAGAAGTCAAAATTTAATAATTAAAATTGGCTTTAAATTCTTATTTCTGTTTTTCGTAGATAAGGTATAGTTGCATATATGCAACTAGTTTTATAAACTTTTCTAGACACTTGTTTTTATTAAAAACTCGCTCGTGCCTTACAAAACTAAAGTGACTTTATAAAACTTGATACATAATATACTATTAAAGATTTATTTTATTGATAAATTATGGACAATTATAGACAAAATAGAACAATTATGGACAAATTATAGACAAAATAGTATGAAAAACTCGTGTTACAATGACTTATTGTGATACTCGTACTATAAATAAGTCGGTATCACAATAAGGATCATTGTAACTCTATAGTGTGCAACAAACGCTATTTAAGTCACGAGTTTAATTATAAACGAGTGTCTAATAGTATATTGTAAAACTATAGTTTTACAATATACTTTATAGTAACGTAGATTTTATACTGCATTTATTTTCCAATTTCATTACAGATTAGGTACCTATCTTAATTTTGCAAAGTAAATACACATATTAAGTAACGTTTTTTATTGAGATAAGTACCACTAACATGTTATTCCCCCGAAATTTACTGAAGTTTTTAATATTTTTGTACTCAAAAATTTATAGCAGTGTAGGAAGCATTATTTCTATTAATATTGATAACATTTACGACTTTCTCAGTTTATTGCAAAGTTATTGAATTGAATTCAATATAAAGATAAAAAATTTAAATCTTTATTGCAAACAATAAAAACCAAAGTTTTTATATTACATTTTATTATTATTAGTTTCAAGATTTCTAACAAAAAATAATTTTTAACAAACATATCTTTTAAACGATTTCTTTGTTACATTTTTTAAACAACCATGATCTTTTTAGTTCCGCTGCTTGAAGATAAAACATTCCAAAAAGAGGGAGAGAGATTTCGTTATTAGAAGCTGCGTTTCGTCACGCAGTGTTGGCACTACTGACGACTTGTCCGCGTCTTTCATAACGAAAACACAATTTTAAAGTAAGCTTAAGGGGAACAACCGTTTTTTACCATAAAAATAACAAAAAACATTCTTAAAACAAATTTTACATAAAAAACAGCGTTATGTTATAAACAAATAAGATTGAAGTTGCTTGCTATAATAGTGTGTTTAAAACCCACAAAAATTAAGATGTCAGGAAGCCCCCTTAATAAAACTATGCTTTTATTTATTTACTCTCTATTTAAAATTATGTTGAGAAACGATCACTTTTGATTTTATAATTTTTTAATTAAGATGATCAAAATCACTTCGCCGTGACAATCGTTTGTGTTTGGAAATTGTCAAAAACCGTAATTATGGGTTAAAAAAAATTTTGCAATTTATTTATACGAAAACAACATTTTTAGAAATTTTAATTTGGCAATAATGTATTAAAATAAGTAAATTAAAACCGTCAAAATACAGTTTTTACTCTAAAAAATCGGCCTTCAACATATAATATTCCTGCAAAAATTCCTGCTGTAAAGCCATACAATATTAAAAACCAAAAATTTACTAATAAAACATTAACGTTTTTAAAGAAACATGCCACATTATAAGGGTAATATTAAATATCCAAACTTATATTCCTGCAAAATATTTACCATTCACTTGGAATCTATTAAAAAAACAACAATAAATTTAATTTTCTCGCCGTTCCAATTCTGAAATTCTGTCCTGCAACAAAAACCGTATTCCTGCTGCTAAGCCATAAAGGCCTAACCCCGAACTGGGCGTGTCTCCAGAATTCGGCCTCCTCCTTCGTCTCGCCTCCCTCTGCTGCCAGCAGGAAAATCATCCTGCCGAGGCCAGGCAGGCAAAATGTGGGTGTGCCAAAGGACGCGCGATCTCAGGAGAGCAAAACCTGGGCGGCCAAAGATGGCCGCGCCACCTGTATTGATCTGCCTGCTAGGTGAGTCTGTCCTGCTGTATCGCCCGTCGTCGCCGTGGCAACATCACACACACAGACACCTGACGCGGGCGGTGGCGGGAATGGGGGCGGCGGACGCCTGTCCTGCTGCCGACGCAAATTTATGCAGGATTTGTATTTTTGCATTTTGTCATTTTTTTACTTATTATTGACGATTTGCAGGGAATTTGTACTTGCAGGAGTAGAATTATTGGTAGTAGGTAATTCATTTTCAATCAGTTAAATAATGCGTAGGAAAATTATACGGTTTTTTTTATAATTGTGTGATTGCAGGAATAAATTTAAAGGTAACGTCATTGCGCGTAGGGTTCATGGAAATTCACACGAATTTGTTTATTAATTATAAATTTGTAAGTATTCAATATTCTTGGAATATATATACTGGATGATACATAATTAACAATATCTCAATTTTCATGACCGAATTTTCGCGAAATTATCATTCTTATTAAGGACGTAAAAATTTGACCCAAATTTGTTGATAAATAATTTATAATAAGTGTTATAAAATGTTACCCTGCGATTTATATAATTATTTAAACAGTATTCAAGTCATTTAAATAATTAGCAATGTGTTGTGTTTTCGTAAACAGGACCTTTTTAAAAGATTACCAATTTACATTGAAATCGGTGTCTGATCGAAATTTTGTGATAATTTTACTTAAAAAAACAAATCAAAAATGCGCAGACTATTGCAATTAAAGTCGCATTATTAATATTAATTATATAGGCTAGGTCAGATATTGAGAAAACAAAACTTTTCATAACTCAAATTACTAGAAAAAGGGCAGTTAGTTCGTTAATTATAAATCCACAGGGGAGATACTATATACATATATACATACATATATAGTATAGGTAATAATCATATCAATATTGATTTTATTTTTATCCCCGAACCCAGGTGGTTATGCCCCTTTTTCATGGATTTCCCGCTGAAATTTTCACCCCAACGCCTTCTTTATAATCTAATCGAAAATGATAAATTGATCGGCATTGTCGAAAAAAAGATTATTTAGCGGTACAATTGGTAAGGTGGTACAAAAATAATCATTTCTGGACAATGCTTTACATTTTCCGATTAACAATGTTTACATTGCAGGAGCGTTATCCTTTTTATTGTAACGTTGCCATGGGGAACCACGATACACATTTGATGGGGTGTATATTTTTGTATCACTGAAAACTGTGAAATGTTCACTGAGATTTCCAAGCAATCGATTTCACGATAAATTATTCACAGTAATTACTGCTGTGTATTGTAAACTAACAGGTAGGTAGATAGATTTTATTTTTTTTTGGTAACAATAATTTTTTGCATCCCGAAAAACGCAACTCTTACCTTCTTGAGATTAATTGATAATCCATAGTATCACTTGAAACTACACTACACTAGAAATAGTCACAGAACCAAAAAAGGAAAATATTCAAATAAAGGCAGAAAATGAAAAGTGTGTTGTGGTGAGAGCGCGCGTTGATGACGTAAGATGCACTCTCGTAAGACTTTTAACGCAGAATGAGTTAAAAAGATCAAGTTGCTGGGGTCTCTATTCTGTGCTCGCGAAGCGGCTCGCCGATTGGCCGCGGCGGACAAGTGGGGGGTCAGGTGAGATACAGGTGCAAAAAAGAGGGAGTTATAAGCGTTTTACTGCCTAAGAGAGAGACATAAATTATATGGCTGGGTTCTAATGAGCTGTGTGCGGAGAGACAGGCTATCTTTGCGACATATGAGTGGATAATTCGTTTTAGTTGGTGTATTATGCACTGATGTACATGCATTTTCTTGTACTGGGCTACGTAAAAATATGATTTTTTTTTATTTCTAGGGTGTTCAAGGGAAAAAACTATTTGTAGCATATTTGAAAAATTGGATTATGATGACCCATACTAAATAATATTTGTTGTATTTTTTAAATATCATAGGTACCTATCTATTTATTTGCAAATTATAAAAGGCAAAAGTACTAATTTTTAAAAATACATTTTCTCACCTTAAAAATCGATTTTGATGATTCTGAACAAACTAAATATTTTATACAATTTTGATAATTATGAAATTATAATTTTACTGTTAACTGTTTTTAATCACAACTTTGTGATATTGATACACACTGGGGTGATTTAAAATCTATTCTTTTTTATTGACGTACAGAATAGTTGGGATTAAAGGATTAATACCTACCTACATATTTTTGTTGAAAATTAACTGATCTACAAAAGTTTTTTTTGTTTTTTCGATAAATGTAGAGTTTGAAAGACAATCGCGCGGAATAATAATAAGTTTTGTTTAATATAAAGTATCCCCTATGGTCTAGTGGTTGTATCTTTTAATATGACAAGGGTTTTTTTTTAACGTTTCTCCCTGAATAATTCGTTTGGTATAAATGTTGTAATATAATTATTTATATGACAAATAAATGTTTTAAATGTGTCTCGGATACCGGAATTCTTTTTAAAAAACGAATATTTTTAAATATAATTTCAGAAAATAGTTATATGCTTCTTAAAAAAACCTTAATAAAAATACAAATTTATAAAGCTATTTCAAAAATCTTCATTATTAGTATGTTATTAAATAAAGTTTAAAGTATAAGTTGAACTTAGTTGCGATTATATTTAAAACGCTTACATTTATAAAAAACACCTTTTTGTAGATCAGTTCATTTCCAACAAAAATACGTACATACTAGGTATTCCTTTAAAAACCTTAACTATTCTGTCGGTTATAAAATTTTGGAAAATATCTTCTGGATGGCTACATTTACGAAAAAAACCTAACCAGATAGACTAATGTAAAAATGTAAAATTGCGATGAGTAGGATCTTACTATTAATATTAAGAGCTCATAGGTATATGAAGATAAGCTTTTTGAAGTGTCCTGCACCCAATTTTTGATATCAGAAGTCAAAAAAAGAGTTGTGGATTTAATTTTCTGATTTATATATTTAGATGTCAGATAGTAACTTAGTACCTACAGTCAATCTGTATTTTGCAATAGATTCCATGGCATCTGGATTTTGGATATTGTTTCCTAAAGGTCTAAAACTTTTAGACTATTTATAAAAGGTGGAATGCCAAATTCCTGTGTACCTTCCTTGAGACGCTTTTCCCTTATTTAAAAGCAAAAAATTAATCGTTTTATCTTGTTTCCCTTTAAAGTTTAAAAAAAATGTAGATCTTGAAATTTATAACATATTTGTATAGAGGCAAAGCTTTCTGTATTTAGTTTACTACAGAGAAAGAGGGCGCCAAAAATAACAAAAATATTTTTTTTTCTTCAAATTTTGACCATCTGGAATTTATTAAAACTAAAAAGCTAAATACAAAAGTGGTAAATATGAAAAAAGTTTTACCATCATTTGTTCAACCGTTTCCGACTAACAGCGGCTCAAAGTTAAGTATAGAAGATGGACCAGCATTGTCCAGTCCATTGTGCAAAAACTACTCTATAGATCTATCGATTGTGGCAGACTAATTAATCTGAAGAATTCTTGCCGTTAGGAAATCTGAACTATAAGGCTTTTTTCGCATAACACAAAGAGCTCTTAATATCATTGAGACTACTCGGAGAAACCTTGCCCAAAAAGATATTCTGAAAATCAAAACTGGAATAAAACACAGAAAGAAAAACTGTACGTAAAATTAATAAACTGCTGTCGTCAATTTTGACTGCTAGTAAACATTAAACGATAAATGCAAAACATCAAAAATTAATTATTTCCTTCATCAATATAATATAAAAATTTATTGAATTAACTATTGACGATCATTAAACGATATTCATTATCTTTAAAACAATAAATTTTTCGTCATAGATCCATGAACAGCAAAACATAAATAATTATAAACTGTGTTCATTGCCCCAACGGTCACTAAACATTGATTTTACGAACTTAACCATTAACTTCTTAAAACGCGCCAAAATTAATGCTACCGTACGCTGATTCAATCAACATAAACATTATGACGACTTTTGGGTGGGGAATTTTTACATGCAATTTTTATCTTGTCAGTCTTATAGCGTCAAAAGTATAGTTCCGCGTTTAACCCTAAAGCTTTATTATTAGTGAAATTGTGATAAATATATGGAGCGAAGTCAAAGTGTGTAAGCTTGTGAAGTTATTTTAAACATTTTTGTCCTTTTTGGATTATTTTTTAAGTTTTGTACCTAATATACGAAACCGAGGTATGTGAGCTTGTAAAGTTATTTTAAACAGTTTTGACTTTTTTGGATATTAATTATTAAGTTTTAAGTGAATGAGTTTTTAAAATATACACTTTTAATATTTTAAATAAAATAATTTAGGATTTCATGTAATTAAGGCGGTCGATATATGTTTTAAAATTATTTATATATTTAATCTTGACTTTTTACAGGAAAGCATGTTTTGAAACTTTTTAGATAGAGCATTTTGTAAACCTCTTTAGAGCCCAAAGGTTCATATTATTTGTAAATTTCTCTTGCAATAAAAAATGTATTCGCCAAAAACGTCTTTATTTTAAAGAAACCCCTTTTGTGATTGATTGCTGGGTAATTTGTATAAGATATTTTTTTCCTATTTCTATGTTGCTAAAAAAAATGCACCCACCTACCCAGTAAACCTTTATTTTAAATAAAAAGGTAAGTAAATTTGGCAAATAATTTTAATTGGGTTTGTCTTGGATTTTATGTAAATTTAAGTAAATCATAAACTAATGCCTTTTTGTTCGTAGTATTAATACTATAAGGGATCATAGATCTATGGTAATTGTTTATTGATTTAATGTAAAATAATCATAAAGTAATGTCTACCGTTTATAATAATAATAACATGCTTTCATAAATCTATGTACGTTGTTTATTGATTTAACGTATTAATTATAAACTTATGTCCAACGGTCGTTATATTAACAACCGCTGTTCATAGATCCATGCTCATAGATTATTAATTTAACGTACAGCATTCATAAACTGATGTAAATCTGTTTATCGTATTAATTACAGTCAATGCTCCTCATTCATTGATTTAACGTACAGAAATCGTAACTTGATGAACAAGAAAATCTACGAACGACTCTGTGGGTAAAAGGCATAAGGGGATAAGTCAAAAAAGCAATTTTTCGGTAGAGACTTAAACGTGTTCGCATTAATAAAGGAAATAAATTTATGGTTAGCGAGCATACCCTTTTGCTAGCATATGACATGTGCTGGCAAAAGGATATACCCGCTAACCATAAATGTATTTCCTAAATTAATGCGAACACGTTTAAGGCACTACTAAAAAATTGATTGTTTTGACTTATCCCCTTATGCCTTTTACCCACAGGACTGTTCATTGTATTAATAACACCCGTCATCGGCTGAAAATTAATGTTGTCGTTCATTGATTTGATGTACTTTTTTATTAATATCACGTACCTTTTTCGTTCAGTGAATGGTCTGCAGAATTGTTTGACAAGAAATACGACTGACTAGGTACTTAAACAGAACCTTGGTTCAAATCTGTAAAATGTTCAGAAATCTCTTAAATAAATATGGGTTTTTAGACAACCAACTAAGAGCATTTCACCAAAGTAGAGATATAACTTAATGTATGTGTATCAACACCACAAGAAGAAATGTAGAAAAATGTTTCCAGGTGGCTTTTGGCATTCAATCCTGAATCTAAGAAACTCTATATGCAACCAAAACTTTCCAAGTATAAGGAGGATATTGTAGCCAGATAGAAACAATAGAAGAATAGGTCCAACAGTCCAAAATATATTTTCCTATACCTACCTACATATAGGTACAGAATCTATTTTGAAAGGTGATATAATATAACAAAGTAAATCAGAAAAAAGATTTGCAGCATATGGTTTTAAACGAGGGACAGCCAAAAATTTGAAAAAGTAATATAATATTATTATTATTATAATTTAAAATAGATATAATTTTTAGAACCAAAATTCCTTTCAACCTTTCGAAAACTTTCAAATTCCTAATATAACGTCATAGAATTTGGGTCATATGTTCATCCAAAAAGGACGCATATCGAACGAAAAAATTATTCCAAACACGCGGGGTCTTCTGTACAGATACATATACATATGAATTTCTCCACACACACCGCGTGTGTCATTAGAAACATATCTTTCCAATCGTTAAAATACAATGGCGCATAAAACAGTTAACCAAGGTGTCACGTATCGAACAATCGGATTTACCGAACGAAAGATTTTAAAAGAAAAAATACGCCTATAGAGTTTTAATAAACAAAACCTACAGCATTGAAAAGAATATGAGTCAATGAAAAGTCTTCTGTGAAAACCATAAAACTGATTTTATAAAACCGCGATTTCATCATATAAGTGAAAAGATAAAATGATTATTTGATAAAAAAAACTATGTACCAAAGATAAGGCATTAAAAAAACTACTAAGTAAACAAATTACTAAAAAATACTCGAGTGGATAAATATTTCAAAATCCTATTCATTAAATATCAATTATATTGCATTGTATAGGAAATGATCATTTTTGCTAAATTCAAAGTACTGCCCAATTAATTATACAGGGTGT